GAAGCAAGGTACTTGTAATTTCTATCGGGATATTAATTATAACATGATTAATGCACTTTGCAAAGATTTATATATTGTTTGTGTTGGTAATCATTACAATTTTTTTTCTTTTTTATGTAAGTTAGCTTCTGAGTTGCTACCGGAGCTTCACCACAGATTCAGAGCAGGAGATCATCTTAAAAAATCTGCAAGAAACTGAAGAGTGGCTATATGAAGATGGTGATGATGAAACTGAACAAGTCTATATCGGAAAACTTGAAGATCTGAAAAAAGTATATGCAACTTTTAAACCGTTGATTTCCTTTTGAAACAACGTGCAATACGTATCTAATCATGTTTGTTTATGCAGTTGTTGGATCCAATTGAAAATAGATACAAGGATGAAATGGCTAGAAAAGAAGCAAAAAAAGCTCTGCAAACTTGTATTCAAGAAAACCGTGAGGCTGCAGATTTACTGCCACCTATGCAGAAAGAGGAGGTATAATCTGTAGTTTTGGCGATTATACTTTTTCTGTCAAATAATTGTCACGTATTTTTTTTTTCTGGCAGGTTGGTTGACTCATATTTCTCAACTACATGATTCATTGGCCAAGAATGCCATCTCCATATACTGCTCAACTGCCATTAGTGGAATCACAAAAACTTTTAAGAGGTTAGTTTCAACGAATTGGCTTGTTGTACTAACATGAATCGATTCACCTAAAACTCGTTAAATTTTAGTTGAGCTCGAGCATAATTGTTGACTTTAATTGTATTATTTTCTATTATATCAGGTATATATGGATATTTGGGGGATGATACTTTTCTTGTATTATGTATCTTAGGGATATAATAGGAGCTTAACTTAGTTTGTATAGTAACCTAAAACTCACATTAAGTCTAGAGTACGTGATAATGGAAGCCCATTACATGGGTGGTGGCATTGTTAGTTTATAGAAAACATAATTTGGTAATTTTGGATATCATAAATAACATGTGCAAATGCCTTTAGTGCATTGCTTTTGTTCTTAGAAGCTGCAAAATGTAACTGTTAATTTCTTCAGGAGGTGCCAAGTCATGATGACATCCAAACCTTCACTTCCCAAATGTGATGAACCCGTGGACTCTGACGAAAAGCATGACAATCCAGATGGCGTTCAAGATGATTGTTGATGTAGATCTCTTTAGATTGGTGGGATCAAACACAACAATATATTCTAGTTTCCTTCATGATCTTTAGCTTTCTATTTTGAAAACTTTACAATGCATCTGTTGGTATTTGGCAATTCATATATTATTAGACAGTTCTACTTTTGAAAACACTTTGGTTTAGGGGATAGAAAAATGCAGCCCCTGTTGGTGTTTGTTTGTTTTTTTTTTTTATCATTATTCAAGCTTTGTTCCTTGTATTTCCACATGTATGTTCTTCGTTTAGGAATAAAATTGTCCAAGTATATATAAAAACAATTATATGTAGGACCCATCATACAATCTCTTCAAGTAGACATAATTATCACTTTGGTTTTGATCATAGCCAATTAGCCATGAGAAATCATAAATGAATCAAATCTTTTGTACCATTGTCTTGGCGAGCATTTCAAGCCATAAAAAATTTTCTTCAACAAGGACATGATAATTTTTTTATCGTCAAGGAACCCATCTGGTTGAGACATAAATTTTTTTTTTCATGGTACCATGAAAAATGCAATTTTGACTTCAAACTACTCAAACTCCAAATTAAGTTCATGACAAAACTTCAAAAATGGTCCCTGTGGTTTTCGAAAATATCAAGTTTAATCCCTAAGTTCAAAAAACCTCACGGATCGTCCCCGTGGTTTCAAAACTTTTAACAAATGGTCCTTTTCGTTAACTCCGTTAGCTTTTGGCCGTTAAGTGAAGGGCATTTCGGTCATTTCACTACTACAAGGACCATTTATGAAGTTTTGCCTCATTTAAAAAAAAGAAAAAAATATATAATTATTTAATATAAAGGGGGCCCACCCACCCACCCATCTCTCTCTCTCTCTCTCTCTCTCTCTCTCTATCTATCTATCTATCTCTCTCTCTCTCTCGTTTTCTTTTCCGTCTCACGAACATCAGAACGAAACCAAATATCCACCCACTGCTATTTCCCTCTCGTTCGTATCTCACCGGCCGACCAAATTCAGGATTATATTGAATGATGGTGGAGTAGCAGCAGCCGCACATGTGGTGATGGCGGTGATTTGGAACAACGACGGGGGTGGCAGGAGGCCACTCCGGTGCTCTTCTGATGCCCTGTTCTTGCTTCCTTCGACTGTATTCAATTAAGGGAGTGTGGAGAAGGTCACTAAGCAGCTAAGGGGTGGTTTTTCTAGTGAGAAAGTGAGGTGGCGGGTGATTTTTAATGCAGCGGCAGGAGGTGGCGTTGGACTGTAGGAGGCTGCTTCGGTGGCCTTCTGCTTCTTCTTTCTTGCTTAAAATTACCAGAGAAAACAAATGAAATGAGGGAGAGAGCTGTGGTGATCGAAAACAGCAGCAACAAAGGGTTGGGGATGTGCTCTCCGGTGGTAGCAGTGAAGGGTGGGGTGGTGGCAGTTTGGTGGCAGCAAGGTGGATGCCACCTCTTCCTTCCTTTTTCTGGGCAGAAACAGATGAGAGGGAGATGTGAGGTGGTGTTTGGGGTGACGTTTTTGATCAGAAGAAGGAGGTATAAGGGTGGTTTTGGGTGGTGGGTTATGGTGGTTTCTTGGTTGTTTAGAGAGAGAGAGAGAGATAGAGGTGGGTGGGTGAGCCACCTTTATATTAAATAATTATATATATATATATTTCTTTTTTTTAAATGAGGCAAAACTTCATAAATGGTCCCTGTAGTAGTGAAATGACCGAAATGCCCTTCACTTAACGGTCAAAAGCTAACGTAGTTAACGAAAGGACCATTTGTTAAAAGTTTTGAAACCACAGGGACGATCCGTGAGGTTTTTTGAACTTAGGGATCAAACTTGATATTTTCGAAAACCACAGGGACCATTTTTGAAGTTTTGTCTAAGTTCATTAACCATGGCCAATGAAACCCAAATTGTTTTGTAGAGTATTTAACAACAGGCTAAAAATAATTCATATAAGGGCTAATGTCATAAAAACCCTCAAGTTTTCAAGAAATGTTCGGTTATATCCTAAGTCCAATTTTATGTCCACAAAAACCGCACATTTGGGCAAAAATTGTCATAATTGCCTTATTTTCCGATTTTACCCTTCTATGGCATTGGGGGGTGTTTGGTTCAGTGGTTTGTTGTTCATCACCATAGAAGCTCAAAGATATGTCATTCATACTCAACGAAATTCATATATTGAATCAATAAAATTCCATTTAACAATCTCTGTTTGGTCTCAAGGAATCAATTCCCATGAACAAGATCATCCATTCGTAACTCAGAAACCACCACCACGTGATATGCATCACCGTCACCATCAAATATCAAACATCACTGCTACCATCCATGAAATCCACCACCGCCACCACATCTACATTGACATCGTCCACCACTACCACCTCCCTTTCTTACCCATATCAAAACTCAGTGCCCAAAATGATGTCATGGGTGCTAAAACCTAAAAATTAAACTCAACTATGATAAATTGATACCCAAAATTTAAACTCAAAAACCACAAATGAAATCAAAATCGTGGTTAGCAACATAAATGCACAAACTTGAAATTAAACCTAAACCAAAACTTAGATTTTTTTTTGCTCTAAGGTGAAGGAGATGATGGTGATGAACAATTAAGGGCAGCGGTGGGAAGTGGGTAAAGTCGTAGAAGTATGCATCTGATAAACAATCAGGGGCGACGACAAGAGTTGGGTTTCATGGCAGTGGTTGGGAGAAATGAGGGTGGAATTCCGGGGAAGAAATTTACATCGTTCGATTCATTGGACTTGAGGTTCGATTCAGAGGGGAGCATCGATCTTCAGGGGGTGCTCTTCGGTCTGCTCAACAATCGAATGAGGTGTTGGAACGGTGGTGAGCAGGAGATGGCAGCCGGTGGGTTTCTGGCTCGTTTTCTCTCGGCAGGAAGCTCACCGGTGGAGTTGATTTTGGTCTCCAGCAGCAATAGAAATCGAGCAAGAGGGCAGGGGTGTTTGGGTGACAATTACTGAACAACAAACCACTGAACCATACACCCCCTAATGCCATAGAAGGGTAAAATCGGAAAATAGGGCAATTATGACAATTTTTGCCCAAATGTGCGGTTTTTGTGGACATAAAAATGGACTTAGGATATAACAAAATATTTTTTGAAAATTTGAGGGTTTTTATGGCATTAGCACTTCATATAATTGATCCTTTCCTTTTATAGAAACCTTTTTACTACCAGCCTTGCTTTAGATCTTTATTTGACCTAACAAATAAATTTGAGCCCTTAAGGTCACCGGCCCATGATCGGAGTACTATTGAATCGAATATAGTCGGTTCGTCTCCACCAGTCTATCCAACTTGGATTTTTTTATTTTGATAGTCCCAACCAGGGCGCGCCAAAACTCACCAGTCAAAACGTTATTTATTGCTAGTAAATCAACATGACGATTCATATTCAAAAACGACGTTGAATTTTAATTTCGACGACTACTCGGCTTCCTTTTTTACGAATACTTTCTGTTTTCGGTTTTCCACATACATTCTTTTACAAAAACTCACACTTGAAGCAGGTACACCTTAATTTCATCTTAATCCTACGTTAGATCGATGTTCATATTTTGATATTTTGATCATTATATTTGATTTTGCGCCGTATATGCGGTTGGCTACGGAATGATCTAAGTTTGTGTATGTATATGATTAGTTTAAGAATATATATTACTGATTTAGGTTTTGAGTAATCATTACTCATAAAACGGGATTCTGCGAGATATAGTGCTTTACTGTTGTTTATGTTTAATTTATTTTGTATGAAGTAGTTTATATATGAACTAGGGTTTGGTAAGGATCTTCATCAGTGCTGACTTTTTGAGGAGTATTCTCGTGTTTTTGTGCGATTTCAGAATGAGTGTGGTTGGGTTTGACATCGGGAATGAAAACTGTGCTGTAGCAGTTGCAAAGCGTGGTGGGATTGATGTGTTGTTGAATGATGAATCTAAACGTGAGACGCCTGCTGTGGTCTCATTTGGTGAGAAGCAAAGGTTTTTGGGTTCTGCAGGGGCTGCATTTGCTACTAAGTTTCCAAAATCAACCATTTCTCAGATCAAGAGATTGATTGGAAAGCTATATAATGAACCGAATGTGCAAGCAGATCTTAAGTTGCTACCTTTCCAGACCAGTGAAGGACCTCGTGGTGGTGTTTTGATCCATTTAGAGTACATGAAAAAGACATGGACTTTTAAGCCAGTGGAAATTTTGGGGATGTTGTTTGCACATTTGAAGCAATTGACAGAGAAGAATCTTGAGTCACCTGTTGAAGACTGTGTGATTGGGATTCCATCATATTTTACAGACTTGCAAAGGCGTGAGTATATTAATGCTGCTCTTATTGCCGGTTTAAGACCTTTGAAGTTAATGCATGATTGTACTGCAATTGCATTAGGGTATGGAATGTACAAGACTGATTTTTCTGATGAAAAAACAACTAATGTTATATTCGTAGACATTGGGCATTCTGACACTCAGGTAACGGTTGTTGCTTTTGAAGAAGGGAAAATGACAATATTGTCCCATTCGTTTGATCCGAACCTGGGAGGTAGAGATTTTGATGAAGTGTTATTTAGACATTTTGCAACACAATTCAAAGAACAACACGATATAGATGTTTACTCAAATGCTCGTGCTTCTATGAGGCTTAGGGCGTCGTGTGAGAAGTTAAAGAAAATTCTAAGTGCCAATGCGGAAGCACCACTTAGTATTGATTTTCTAGTTGATGATAAAGATGTGAATGGATTGATAAAGAGGGAAGAGTTTGAGAACTTGTCAGTGGAGTTGCTAGAAAGAGTTATGGATGCTTGTTGTAAGGCCATAAAGGACTCTGGTCTAGGTGCAGATAAGATAGATACCATTGAGCTTGTTGGTTCTGGGTCCCGCATACCTTCTATTACGAGAAAGATAGCTTCAATTTTTGATAAAGAACCAATGAGAACACTAAATGGAAGTGAATGTGTTGCTAGAGGATGCGCTCTTGCTTGTGCAATGCTTAGCCCAACTTGCCAAGTCAAAGATTATAAGGTTTTTATCTAATTAATATATCTTTTTTGGTACTATGTTTTAAGATACCGTTTATGAAGATAAGGGTTTATGCTATTTTTTTTTCTTATCTTTGTAGGTTCAGGATTCATTTCCTTACTCAACAGGAGTTTGTTTTGATGATGGTAAAAGACGCCATGAATTTACATTATTTCCAAAAGGCAGTCCATTTCCAAGTAATAAAACAGTCACATACCAAGGAAATACTACATCTCATTGTCATGTTTTCTATCTCAACAAGACGGATTTCCCTGCTGGAATATCACGTGAAGCTGGTTATTTCATGGTAAAAGTTTTATGTGTGTGTGTGTGTGTTTGTGTATATATGTTATATTTAATATTGTATTACTTACACTTGATTTACTTTTTCCCATTCACATCTTGAGTTAATTGTTAAATATTTGTTTAGATCGGTCCATCTCAAGCTTCTGGTGCAGAAAAAGTGTTGGTCAAAGTTAAAGTGCATCTTAACATCCATGGGATTGTTGAAATAGAATCTGCATCAGTAAGTATTGCTTGTTTCCCACATTGCCCAAATGTTGAACATAATATCGTTCTCTTCTTTGCTAATAGTTTCAGTTTATAGAACATAAACACCCTTCAAGTAAAAAGTCTATTCGGTACTCATGGCAATGGGGGATAAAGGCCAGCCGTTTTTTGCCAATTAATGCTGCTTATCGTAGATTTTCTAGTTCTCGATCGTCTACTGAACGTTATGTAAGTGAAATCATGCACACTTTAAATTATCATTATGAAAAGATAAAGAGAAACATAGGCTTTATTGAAATTGTATTTATTTCTAATCATTTTCTATTGATGTACAATTAATTCCTTACCATATGTTGGCCCTTTATGACACTACACTTCAAAAAAATCTACCCAATATAGCAGCAACAGTTGCTTTATGTACGGATGACATTGCTATATATAAAAGAGTAGATTTTTAAAAGTTAATACTGTATTAGGAAGAAGCGACGTATGATGCTATAATAAACAAAACATTTATAGTACTTTGCTATTTTTTGAATTTAACCCTTATACAAATGCAAAAACTTATCAAACTCAGTAGTCCTCATCCAAAATTGCTTGTGACAACATTTCACCATGCAGGCTGAGGAAGCAAGATGGGGTCGTGCCAGGAACCTTGAAGTTTCTGGAAATTATTGTGTCTGGACTACTCTAGATGAGATACGTGTAGCTCAAAAGAGAGCACAAATGTTTGCAGAGCATGCCATAAAGGTGGAGAAAACTAAAGAAAAAAGAAACACCCTCGAGTCTTTTATCTATGACACTCGTAGCAAGGTACTTTTATTATTTTTGTTGGTAGTCATTAAAAAAAGTTTGTGTAAAACTTAAATTTTGATTAAATGGATTGCATACAAACTGACACTTTTTTTTTTTTTTTTTTTTTTTTAAATTAGCTTCTGAGTTCTTACCGGAGCGTGACTACAGATTCAGAGGTGGAGATTATCTTTGAAACTCTGCAAAAAACTGAAGACTGGCTATATGAAGAGGGAGATGATGAATCTGAAACAGTCTATATTAGAAGACTTAAAGATCTCACAAAGGTGTTTACATATATGCAAATTTTAAAGCCGTTAATTAATTTACTTGCGAAACAGCCTTAACACATTTAGCAATCACATATTTGTTTATGTAGTTATTGGATCCAATTGAAATTAGATACAAGGATGAGATTGCTAGAAAAGAAGCAACAAAAGCTCTGCGAACATGTATTCAAGAAAATCATTTGGCTGCAAATTCACTGCCTCCTAGTCACAAAAAAAAGGTATTGTCTAGCTCTGTGGACAAACTTTCAAGCACTTTTTTTGATGAGGATGAGGAGGGCTTTTATGTACTTTATCTTCCACTTTATGTTTTTTGGCAGGTTAACGATGAATGTATTGAAGCTGAGGGGTGGTTGGATCATCTTTCTCGACTGCAGGATTCATTGGCCAAAAGTGCCACTCGTTTATACTTTTTGAGTGCCATTAGTGAAATCACACAAGCTTTGAAGAGGTTACTTTCTTTTTATTGCATGATTTCATAGTGTAATGCTTTTCTTATATTAGGGGTATTTTATATAATGCTTTCCTTATATTACCTATCCTATATATATAGGTGCTTATAGCTTATTTTACGTTCAATCTAGAGAATTTATTTCTCTCCAAACAAATATTAATTAAACATAACTATAACGGAAGCCCATTACGTGGGTCGTGGCATCTAGGTTTTTTCTATTATATAAAAGGTATCTTTGGTCATTTTGACATCTTTATATATAACACTAAGAATCATGTGGAATTTTGTTTAACGGAGTGCTTGTAATATTAGAAACTGTATTTCCTGATGTGCTACTTGCTCTGTTAATTTCTTCAGGAGGTGTGAAGCCATATTTAGTTCCAAACTTTCACTGTTCAAGTATGATCAAGAGCCTGTGGACTTAGATCAAAAGCAGAATCCCAGTGAGATGCAAGTCGAAAATTGATGCAGATTTGTTTAGATTGGTGGGAACAAACAAATGGTATTTGAGTCTTCCTTCATGATCTTTCCTTTTTGAAAAGCTTTATGATGAATATTTTTGCTGTTTGCTGCGAGTACTTTATATGTGGGCTATATATTTACTTGAAAACGTTTTGTTGGATTTCTTGATCAAAGTACATTGTTTATTTTGTTATATATCTTTAATCTATTCAAGCTTTGTTTAAGGTTTTCCTGCATGTTTGTCCTCGGTTTATAAATAAAGTGTCAAGTATTAGCAATTTGATTGGGAATACTAGCTTAGATGGATTGTTTGGAAAAAATGACACATTTAAGAAAAGAAAAGACAAAAAATCAAATGAGATTAAGTTTGTTATATACAATTACGATCACCCTTTTGTATATTGTAGTTTTTAAATATAAAAAAAAAAAAAATCTTGACAAGCATTTTTAGACATGTTCTGTACGTCATGATTTTTGATTGACATTTAAGACATGACCCAATTTTGGTGCACCTTATTGTTACTCAACACTTCAAATCTTTCATGAATAATAAACAACCAAATTCTACAACGTGTGGGCATTAACAAAACAGAAATCAAAATAATACATTAAATTTGAAATGTTAATAAAAATCAAAGAGGTAAATACATATCGAAATATGCAGATTTACCCGGTAAAACTAAATATTTCTACAAAACTTAAGGCTTTAATAAACAAAAAAAAAAAAAAAAAAATCAAGTTTAAGGATTTTTATGTACTAGAAAAAAAAAATGTAAAACCTAACATTTTTGTCAAACATAAGGACTTTAATGAACTAGAAATAAAAAGAGTAAAATTGAAAAAAAAAGCTACAAACATCTGGTTTTAGTAAACCTAAAATCCGTAAAAGGTAAATTCATACATTTCTGTCAAACTTAAGGCTTTTATGTCATTATTCCAAAAACCAAATAGATAATTAACATCAAAATAAAAAATAAAACTAAATATATAACATCATAGTAATAAAAAACACAATTGGTAGTATATAGGTTGGGTATATTAATGTTTGCAATATGTTGAAGGAGATTCCATGGAAGGTTGTGAGTTACTTTTTTGTTTTTTCTAAAATCATATTGTATATTATAATACAAAGGTAAATAAAATATGAAGATCGAGAGATAATTGGTACAAAATCTATGAACAATTGTGAAAAGTTTGAAAAAATAGACTTTATTTAAAGTTGAAATATAGTTGCTGGTAGGGTGGGATCACTACAAATAAAATGACATTTAATGGCACAAAAAAGTGCCACTAAATACCAAAAAAGTGTCACTAAAAACTTAGTTTGTAATATGCGGCACAAAAATAAAATGTCACTAAAAGCGCTCCCACTAAAAGTCTTTAATGACACTTTTTGGTTGTGCCGCTGCAGGTTTTAGTGACACTTTTGGTTATGCCACTATAATATTTTTAGTTTTAGTGCCGCTTTTTTATGCCAATAATACATTTGTTAAAATAAAAGTCATTTTCCTACTTTTGGGGGCACATATTTTTAGCAAAAAAGAAAAATATTCAGAAATTAGGTCCAATTGCTTTTTTAACGTCATTGAAATAATAAAAATACAACTAAGGTTATAAATGGACATACCAATATCATTATTTGAAATAAAAGTTAACTGACAAACAATAATATGCTAAATAATTACAATATTGATAAATTTTTTGTCAAAGAATCTGAGTAAAAAGGTTTCCTTTTTTTATAATGCATTAGATGCTTGTACTTTCTACAAAAAACCTCATATTATTCATAGCCGTCTTTCTTCAAATAACTTGCTCAATTGTCTTTCTTTTATGATCATATCATCTAATTGTTGTTGAAGGTTAGAAACTTCTTCCTGCAAACGAACTATAACTTTAGCAACTTTAACTTTCAGTTATAACATATTTAAAGTTAAATAAGAAAATCAATACAATATACTATTACATAGCACATCAAAGTAGATGGTTTCATTTTAATGTTCTATACACAACAATATTAACCAACGATTATCATATAACAAAATAAAATTATAACTAACAAATACATTTTGACAAAAATGCAAGTTAAGATGACAAAATAAAATAATATATTAACGAAGAATAGATAGATTTAATATTTTAAAATTTGAATCATACTATCTCTTGATAAATTTCTTTATTTTGTGTTTTATACTTTTAATAATTTATATTTTATAATAACGTTTATTTCTTTTGTTTATAAGCATACTAACAAATAAGAAAGAATTTTGTCTAGTGAAATAAAAGTTTTATTTGCTTCTTAATCACTAATGACTCATTAAGTACAAATTAATTACTTTAATCTTTTTTGTACTAACAATTGTCTTTTGCTTTTACAGTCATACTTTAGTCTCTTCAATACGGTATATGATCACATATTAGACTAGTGACAGTAAATGATCATTTTGCCATTCTAACACTCCAATGAGTAATTTTCACATTATGAGGGCCTTGATTTACAATCAAATAAAAGATTAAAAATATTATGATTACTTTGACTTCCTTGAGCCACAGTTGCTTTAATTATGGATCACCAAGAACAATTGAAACCATAAGTGCACCATGGATGTTTTGCAATTAACTTTTCACAACTTTACAACATGGGATGAAAAGTTGTTGCAAGTTGTGATCCATAGCTTGCTTTTCATCTTCACATACCAAAATAAAACAAAAAGTTTGCATAAAAAAGAAGGATTAAAATAAAAGATCGTCCAACCCCCTTAAAATGTATTTAAATAAGTAATAGAGAATCACCTGAGGCGCACAACTCTGTGGCCATACAGACCCATATTTTTAGCATATGATTGAGAACATTCAATTAAATGATCATCTTGAAGGAAAATCCTAATGGATTTCACACCCCTTTCTAGATCACCACTTGCAAACCCTTGATAGACCATGTCAAAGAAAGCAAAATGACCTTTGACCTATGAAGAGTAAAATTAAAGACCGATAACTTAAAGAAAAGAGATATACAAGAAAATAAAACTAAGGAACACTAAACTTAAGTTATTAAGACATTTCTTTCCTTTACCAAGTCTCGTTACTAACTACTATGTGTACTCCTCTTTAAGTGGAATAGGGTTTAAGTGCAAACACCATTAGTCCATTACTAATAAAGAAACAAAGAATAAAAAAGAAAAAGCACTTACTCAAGAACTCCTTAGACCGATACAAATGAGATAGTGTAGTGCATACATAAGAATTATCAGAGATTCAACAATCACTATACCAGAGTAGAGTTAGTGTAACATCCCAAATTTCAAGACCAAAAATTTCATTTTTAATTTAAATATTCATAAAACAGATTACTGAAAATGTCATCAATGTTATCTCATATCATGAAAACCATAAGTCATCCATCTCAAAACATATCATAGGAAAATAATGTCAGAGTACAAATCCCAAGAATCTCATGTGCGGAAAATCATGTGTGTGATGCTCTGCTATCGTGCCGAATCCTTTCCCTTCGAAGAAGAAGGACCCGAAACAAAAACTGAAAACTGTAAGCACAAAGCTTAGTGAGTTCCCCCTTCATACCACATACCATACAATAAACATACTTCCAGGCATATCTCGGTGCCCGGCCTACCCTGCTGAGCATATCTGGGTGCTCAACCTACCATTGTCAGGCATACCGGGGTGCCCAACCTACCCCTGCCAAGCATATCTAGGTGCTCGACTTACCCTCCGGTTTATTTCAACAGGTTACGGGGACTATTTCACCCCTACCACTACCACATAATAACATAGCATAGCATACTGTCATACATATCTGGGTGTCCGACCTACCCACCGATTTATCTCAACCAGCTATGGGGTCTAACCTACCCCTCCTACCACTATTACATAATATCATAGAATACTAACACATAAACCAGAATAGATAGTGGCATACCAGAAGATTATCACAAAGACAATCATCTCAACTATATTCAACTACTAGTGGGCCGACATTGGTGCCTTCGACCCACTTCTACTGGAAGGTAACTCACCTCGATAACTGGGAAATAGCTGCAAAAGCTCCTGCTCTGAAATCAATCCCTCTCAGACTCCTACACATAAACATTTCCTTCAATTACCCTTTTCATACTCATAACCCTTCTAAGGGTCATCTTTGGTCAATGGTCAAAGTCAAACTTAACATCCTGGTTGACTCAACTCGCCGAGTTGGTCCATCAACTCGTCGAATTCCATAATCCATAAAACCCTGGAATTCTCGATCCAACTTGTCGAGTTCTTCCTTATAACAGAGTCGGCACAGTTCGCTCACAACTCGCCGAGTTCCTCCTTGAACTCGTCGAGTTCTTCAATCTTCAAACCCCAAAACCCATGGCCAACTCGTTGAGTCATCTCCTAGGCTTGACGAGTTTGATCAGTGACAGAAAAGGTTAGGGATCACGATCCAACTCGCCGAGTTGTATGAACAACTCGTCGAGTCCCCCCTAGTCTACACCCATTCAGTCGCTTCCAGTCGAGTTCAATGCTTCCAAAACATATATCTGGTCCCCTAGGACTAAGTTTCCACGTAAAGTTGCTAACTTTATGTCCATCCATCATGAAGCTTGAAACACCAAAACTAAGCTATATAAGAGGTCTAGGTCATGGAGAAGGGCCAAAGCTTGATAAAGCTGGCAACTTTAAGCCTCATAAGCTCATGAGTGCCTACATCTGAAGTCACAACTTCATGATACACCCAAATCCCGAGAATGACTTCAAAATGGCCCAAAAGTAACAAAATACAACCCTAAATGAAGATCTAAGCAATGGAAAGCCAATGTATCAACTTTATACCTCAAATGAGTCAGAAATGCAGCTCAAACTCTAGATCTACTAGCTTCCTCTTGAATTCCCAAGCTTCTCCTTCCTTCTCAAGCTTCAAAATCACAAAGAACACACAACAATGGCTCACAAGCACTCAAAAGTGGATTAGGGTTTCGTGGCTAGGGTTTGGGGTGATGGAGGCTGCAAATGAGGCCACCCTTTGGAGGTTAAGGTGTTTAAATAGGGTGCAAACCCTGAAAATTGGGGTTTCACTCAGGCAGCCCTACTCGTCGAGTTGAGGCTCTCGACTCGTCGAGTAGGCTTCAAGTCCCGCATCCAAATTCCATTCCTAATCGACGAGTTTGGGGCCTCCAACTCGTCGAGTCCCTTTGTAAAAATGAATAATTTGTTTTAAAAATACATACCAGGATCCGGGCGTTACAGTTAGTGTTGCCTCTGCACCCAAAACGAAACTAGTTTAAACATCAATCACAAGATCATGACTAGTAAAGACTCAAAATTAATACCTATTTTTGCCTGATTAGATAATAGATAATGACTTATATTTGAAATGGTTCATATATCCAAAATGTATATATCATCTAAAGTCTAAACATCATCCATTACCTTGTAATACATATCTCAAGCCCTTAGTAATAGATGTATTAGTTGCCTTAGCAACCTGATTGAGATCCCTTCGTAGTGATCTACCCATATCGAACAATCCAACCTTAAAAAATACAAGGTTAACAGTATATAATTACATAATTTGCTATAGAGATTCACCAATTTAATACTTATAACAAAATCATCAATAAATATGGACCAAATTTGAAGTAGAGGTTATGGAGTAGAGCATAATACCTGAATCATCCTCATTTGGAAGTTATAAACGAACAAGATGTTGAAAGTGTTACAGTCTCTTCCAGTCTCGTCCTAACATTCTCTCCAGGTTAACTTCTTCTTCAGACAACCTAATCCATTATTGATTGACATAAGTGGAAGAACCTTAAATGGAAATGGAGGTGAAAATTCTTACAATATCACACTCAGATCCAACAACATGATGTATTAAGGGTTTTGGAATAGAAGAAGACGAGGAAGAAAGGAGGTCGGGACACCTTTAATTTTGATCCCAACTCTGTTATTTCCACTAACCCTAACAATATCGAATTTATGTTCAAGAGCAGTAGAGGTAACCCTAATAACATCATCACGACCATTTCCAAAAACTTCGGCTAGTTGCTCTTCTTTAATCGCAGTCGCACCATGATCAATATCGGAATTTAGACTAGAATTCAGAAGAAGATTAGATCTTTCTTCTAGCATTCATATGTTTGGGGTTTAGGGGGAAACAATTGTATGGATTTTTGGGGTGAGGGGAACTTAGGTAAAAAATTTGAACACTAGAGGGGAATAAAAGTTGAAAATGAACAAACTCTTTTTATTGGTTCAGTGGCCGCAAAATTAAAAAATAGAGATACATACAGTGGCACAAAGGAGCATGTGCCACTAAAAATATAACATTGTGGCATAAAAAAATATGCCACTAATAACTTTATGCCACTATATATAATTTTGTTTGTAGTGGATGGGGGTAGGGTGTTGCAACGACCATTATAACCACCCTATGTCATAATCTTTTTATTTGATACCGAACATCCAAGGGTGTTCCCACCCGTGTTACAACCACCATATGTCCTAATCTTTTTATTTGATACCTAACATCCAAGGGTGTTCCCATCGGTGTCGCTGCATCCTAAGCCTCCCTCACTCCATACAATTTCTTCCCCTCAAAAAGAAAGAAGAAAAATAAGGGAAGGGGAGTCGGAGTTGGGATATTGTGGGCTCTTCCTTTTTTTCAAAAAATAAAAAATTACAACATATGAAAAATATATAAGAAAATATGGCAGGAAGGTAAAGTAGTCATTTCACTTGGGTGAGTAACCAAATCACACTAAAAACATAACCATAAAGATGTCTTTTGCACTTTTATGTCAATGAACTAATTCTTTAAAATTTTTTTTATAGACATAAGGACTATTTTTGTAAATTACTCAAAACGTAAATCTCATTTTTGGTTAAATTGATTAAATTTAAATTCAATACTTTAGATTTTAGTTTTTGTAACTATTATTATAAACTAGTTTATAACCCGTGGAAACCACGGTTACAAAATTAATTAAATTTTTATAATAAAAATTCAAAATTATTAATTAATTATTTTAAATAAATTATTAATTAAGAAATTCTTTTTAGTTATATAAAATTATAATCATTGATTTAAATAAATATGTGAAATTATATCACTTTATAAGTTGTATTAATTTATTTTAATTTTTATTCTAATGTTATTAATTTAATGTAATTAAAATGAAAAATTTAAAATTTGAAATTTGAAATGGAAAATAATAGGTTGACAAATAGTATGCATTAATTAGGAGACATAATTGGTGACACATGACAAAAGAAGAATAAAATATGTATTAATTAAGAGGTCTAATAGGGTGACACATGTTAAAAAGAGAATAAAACTATTTTTTTATTAGAATAGGAAGATGTGTAATTTTTTTATTAAAAAGAGAATAAAACTATTTTTTTATTAGAATAGGGTGACACATGTTCTTACGTACGATTTCCGAGTGATATTATAAATGTGTAATTTTAGTTTTTAGCTAAGCTGGCTTCTTTGATCAATCATAACAAGGGCGCCAAATTTGCCCAAACTTAAACATTAATCAATATGCCGATTCCAATTAAAATCCAACGACGATTAACTTCCGACGACTACTCGACTTCCATTTTCGGATACTTAAGCTTTTTCACACAGCTCTTTTAACAACAACTCACAGTTGATTCAACCAGGTACACCTCCTTCATCTTAATCGTACATTTGATTTGATTTGATTTGCATTTGATTTTGCGAGTTATATGCTAGCCGACGAATTTAAATCGCGTTTGCATGTGATAGTGGGGCTCTAGCTAGCTTAAGAATTTTGATTACTGAAATAGGTTTTTAGTAGTCAAATTCATAATTTATGGAATTTTGGGCATGTTGTGATATACTACTTGTGATATTTTAATTTAGTCTTATATCAATTTATTTATGGACTGATTGTTTGTTTGAATGAATTAGGTGCTTGTAAGGATCCTAAATTCCTACACCCCGTGTTGCATTCTGAAGAGTATACTTGTGTCTTAGTTAGAAGTTAGAATGAGTGTGGTTGGGTTTGATATTGGGAATGAGAACTGTGCTATAGCAGTTGCAAAGCGTGGAGGGATTGATGTGGTGTTGAATGATGAATCGAAGCGTGAGATGCCTGCTGTGGTCTCATTTGGTGAGAAGCAAAGGTTTTTGGGTTCTTCAGGGGCTGCGTTTGCTACTAAGTATCCAAAGTCAACCATTTCTCAGATTAAGAGATTAATAGGAAGAGGATATAAGGAACCAAGCATGCAAGAAGAGCTCAAGTTGCTACCTTTCGAGACCACTGAGGGCCCTCATGGTGGTGTTTTGATCCATTTACAATACTTGAATAAGACATGGACTTTTCAGCCTGTGGAGATTTTGGGGATGTTGCTTGCACATCTGAAGGAAATGACAGAGAAGAATCTTGATTCTCCTGTTGTAGACTGTGTGATTGGGATTCCATCTTATATTCAAATTCTTGGTGCATGTCTGTTCTTGTGTATTTGATGAACATAGATTGATTTATCATTTAAAGCTTAGCATCAAGCCAATTAGCAGGACATTAATCAGTTGAACTGTGTTTTGAACTTTTTACCCTAGGCCTTTAATATACTCCAGTTAGAATGTGGATTTGCTTTGTCTTGCTTTTTCTATTTTTGGACAAAATATATGTTAATAGCCTTTTGGAAGTTCTAAAGTGACTTTGTCACATAATTTATATTTTCAAGGGTTTTTGTTGTGCTTTCTTATGGTTTGCAGGTTAAAGATATTTTTCCTTACTCGGTAGGATTCAGGTTTGATGATGGTGAACACAAAAGACACCCAGAACTTACAGCTTTTCCAAAAGGCAGCCCATTTCCAACCACTAAAACGGTTCCATACCATGGAAATATTACATTTTGCTGTGAAGTTTTCTACACCAACAAGATGGATTTTCCTTCTGGAATATCACCTTTAGTTGGTCGTTTCATGGTAAAAGTATTTTATGTGTGACCATTCACGTTCCAATATTTGCATCTTTCTCATGCATTCCCACATACACAAAGTTTTTGCTATTGAACATTCATATGTTGAGTTAATTGTTAAATGCGCTTTCAGATCAGTCCACATCTAACATCCGGTGAAAAAAGTGTGAAGGCCACGGTTAAAGTGCAGCTTAATGCCCATGGAATTTTTGAAATAAAATCCGTATCAGTAAGTATTATTTGTTGCCTAATTTGCTCAATTATTGAACATATCATGATATCATTCTCTTTTGTGTTTGTTGCTTCAGTTTTTAGAAGTCATACACCCTTTATTTGATTACTCTAAACTGTACTCGCTGATGATGATGTTTGCCAACAATCTTATGAAGAATGGTGCTGCTGGTTATAAAACCACTGGTTCTACTTTGCAGAATACACATTCTGTAATCTAAATTTCTGAATAAATTTTTTATTTTTTGGTGAAACTTTATGTATAACCATAGAAACACATTTTTTCACCATGCAGGCTGTGGAACCAAGGAGCAGGGCTAGGGAGCAGAAGCTTTCAGTTTCTGAGAATTATCATGTCATGACAACGATAGATGAGATGCACAAAGCTCAAAAGAGAGCACAGATGTTTGCAGATCAAGACATAAAAGTGGAGAAAACGAAAGAAAAAAGAAATACCCTTGAGTCTTTTATCTATGACACTCGTAGCAAGGTAAATGTTTTCATTTGTTTTGGTAGTCATCAAAACAAAATGTGTAGTTTAACGTTTGGTTCTATGTATTGTTTAAAATTTGATTGAATATTTGTACTTTAATTAGCTTTTTAGTTCCTTCCGGAGCATGGCAACAGATTCAGAGGTGGAGATCATTTCTAAAAGCCTGCAAGAAACTGAAGAGTGGCTATATGAAGAGGGTGATGATGAATCTGAACAAGTCTATATCAGAAAACTTGAGCATCTTGAAAAGGTGTTTAAAGCATATGAAAATTTAGAACTACTAATTTTCTTCTGAAACAGCCTGCTTACATCTAAATTTTTATGCTTGTTTAGTATTTAGATCCAATTGAAAATAGATACACCGATGAAAAGGTTAGACAAGAAACAACAAGAGCTCTGCAAACTTGTATTCAAAAAAATCATTTGGCTGCAGACCTACTGCCTCCTAGTCAGAAAGAGGAGGTATTATCTTAGCTCTGTTGATCATACTCTACTACTTATAGGCTTCATTTCCTCAGATAAGAGATTGAGAGCGTGTCTCTGGCCAACTCTTTTTGGTGTGACTAAATATTGCAAAAAAAAAAATCTTTTCACATCAGTCCAATGCATGCCAAACATAGTACAATATTATCGGTTCCTTGCTATGAAGTAATTGTCATGTTTTCTGGCAGGTTAACAATGAATGCATTCAAGCTGAGTGGTGGTTGAATCAACTCTCTAAACTGCAAGATTCATTGCCCAAAAACGCCACTCGTATATACTGCTCGGGTTCCATTAGTGGAATCACACAAGCTTTCAAAAGGTTAGTTTCTTTTTATTCAATATTTTCTAGAGCATTACTTTTTTGTAATAGGGATAACTTTTTTAATGTCTTTCTTCTATTATGTAATTTAAATAGGTGCTTAGATTACTTTGTGCGTATTGTTAAACTCGCATTTAATCTAGAGAATGTAGCTTTGGTCATTTTTGACATCATAATAATCATGTGGAATTTTGTTTAGCAGACCAATTGTATTATTAGAATCTGCAATTCCTGATGTGCTACTTTCTCTGTTAATTTCTTCAGGAGGTGTGAAGTCATATTTAGTTCCAAACTTCCACTGCCGAAGTTTGAGGAGCCTGTGGAGTCAGATCGAAAGCAGAATCCCAATGTGATGCAAGTCGATAGTTGATATAGATCTGTTTAGATTGGAGGGATCAATCACATAGTATGTGAGTTTCCTACATAATCTTTGGCGTCTGTTTTGAAAAACTTTATGATCGATATATGTTTGCTGTTTGCTGTGAGTACTTTATTTTTTTGAGCTGTGTACTTTAACAAGTTATCATACTTATGAAAATGCTGTGTCTTGGAAGGTTACAAAAGCAGCAACCCTTTGGCTAGTCAAACTATATTGTTTCTGTTATCTTTAAAGGATTTAAGCTATGTTTATCGTTTTCCTGCATGTTCGTTCTCAATTTGTATGTAAATTATCAAGTATAGAGATTTGATTGGTAACACCTATCTTTTGTGAAACGGTCTAGCGAGGGCTAGGTAAGCAAGGGTTGTCTAAAACCTTCCTTGTAATTACTGTAAAAGAACAGCTATGCATTTATTCATGCTGCTGTAGAGACACTTGATGATTGATGATTCCTATCTTTATATGATCCTCCCTTATAAACAAAAATGATTTTGCCACATGTCACATTCTCATTTATTTTGCCACATGTCATTTTTTGGTTATTTTAAATTTATTTTTTTTACATGTCATTTTATAGTTTTCTATTTTATTGAATTCCACATAGTATTTAAATGTAATAATTCCAATAAATGTAATTATAAATAAATATCATTTTCATTAATGGACTTACTTTTGTTTATCTAAATTATTTGTGTAAATTTAAAAAAGAAAAAAAAACACTTCAATTTTTATAATTTAATACTTTTCTTATTTTTCTTATAAATTCAAACTTCTCAAATATTTAGATCTTACTATATTTTAAATATTTAGAATTACTATATTTTAAAGAAATTCTTTACCCATTTTTCATTCCAATTTTTTATTGATAAAATAAAACTAGTTGGGGGTTTGAATTTGTAAATGGATTGTCGACTTATTCAATCCCCTTGTGGTTTGACTCCGGTAGTATTCACTCGGCTTTTCAAGCCAACAAGTTGTATTTTCATATGTATTTAGATTAAGTCATTTGTTGAAAATCGAAGGTAAAGAGTTTGGACATGTTGGAAGATTTTTGGGTATGCAATGACCATTATTATACTTATGTTTTTGTATTGGTTTATGCTTATATATTGATTGATACTTCTTCAAAACTTAACAATCTCTGTTTAATTGGGACTAAATTTCCCTATTTACGAACCTTTGAATGTTTTGAATTTAAAAAATTAGGTTTTTGTTCAATTATTTTCAAATAGCATCATGCGAGGGTTGTTTTAAAATCATTTCATAAAGACAATCAATCTTGTTTTCTGTTGGATTCCTTGATTTTTAAAAACTTCATTACTAGAAAAAGGCTTTAATTTGTCATAAATGACAGCCAAATTGTCATTAAAAGCCTTGTTTTAAAGAAAATACAACATACACTTGTCTATCGTAAATTTATGACATTTATGAAAAAATACGACATACACTTATATGTCGTGAATTTATGACATAATCACCATTGGAATCACTAATTACTCACATCAAAACCATAAAGATATAGTGATACCTTTAAGCTTATGTACACCTTAAACATCAAGTTAGAGTTCCAAATCTCTACATTCCATCAATAAAGATGAAATCAATTATTCCAAAAAGTAGAATAGTGATACCTTAATGTTCTAGAGTATAATACAAGCATCAAAACTCATCCAAATCTTTACAACGCTTAAATTCATTTTTTTATGAAAGTTAGGGCTAGACGTTAGAAACACCCTAAAATCACCATAAACGCTTCAATAAAATAACTACGGAGGGAGTTGATATATTTTTTACTAACCAATATTGTTGAATGATGTGTCACTTATTAGGGTTGCAATGGTTATAAAGGTTGCATTGTTTAGAATTATATATATATATATATATATATATATATATATATATATAGAGAGAGAGAGAGAGAGAGAGAGAGAGAGAGAGAGAGAGAGAGAGAGAGAGAGAGAGAGATAGAGATAGGTTCAACTATTCTAACTAATTATTGTGCGGATGTGTGGACAATGTTATTCTATGAGGATTACTAACAAAATAAGTTGTTTAACAATACGAATACGTTAAACCTTACAAAAATATCGTCATTTTCATGCATTCTCGTTAATTATTATTTATTTTTGTTCTCACACATCGTTTTTCACTCATTTTCATTCTGACATAATACGAATCAATAAACATTCTGACAGAAATGAAAATAATAATAATAAGTGTATAATAACCTTATAGACGATTTAATTAGTGAGAATGTGTGTTAATGACAATAGTTATGTAAGATTGAACGTATTTATATTATTAAACAACATATTTTCTTTATCATTTTCAAAGAATAACATTGTCCATACGTCTGCACAATAATTAGTTAGAATAGAATAACCTAAGTCTATATATATATATATATATATATATATATATATATATATCCTAATCCTAATAAAAGAATCCCCTTAATGACACGTGTAATATTCTTCATGCCTCCTCCTCTCCAAGTTAATTGACTCTTTTACCCTTCAATTATTCTACCTTCGTTAACCCAGTAAATCAAAAAATCGTTTATCTCTCAATAAAATCAAAATCAAAAATTCAAATCGTCCTAAATTCAAGCCTTAATTTACGCATTGACAATGAACAATTCAAAATCAAAGCTCTTTAACTTAAAGTGGGATTAGGGCTTCTCTCAACCATCGTCGACACACTTTTGGCCTTTCTTCTCCGCCTTCCCAATTCTCTACTCTAACAGATTATCACCTCATGAAATTAATCACATTATTGTATAGAAATGCTTCACCGTTTCACCATCGATGATGATTTCTCAGGCTACTGATTTCGGGCTCTAGGTTTCCTTAAATATAGATAAATGTTTATGAAGTTATCATATTTATTTTTTTTATCCATGGAGTTGATTTTTTATAGGTCGAATCTCACATATATTGATTATTGGAGTATGATTTGAAGATCGAACAAATTTTTGGAGCCCAAGTAACAGAAGACTATGAAAAGTTTTTTTCGTTTTCTTTTGATGAACTTGTCTCTGCTCATAGTCTGTAACTTTTCAATCAGGGCATCTCTTGAAGACGAGACAAAACCATCATTGGTGGAATGGAATGCGAACATGCTTCTTTCCCTCTTAAAAAGTTCTTAAAAAGTCGGGAGGAAGGTATTAGATAATATTAATATTAAAGAATGTATTTATTCTCCAAAATCCGAGTTGTTTGAGTCTTTGTCATAATTTCTCGAAAAAATAATTCAGCCACTAAAGCTATGTTTTTTCTGTATTTCATCATGTAATAAAATAAAAAATTGCTTCAATTTTTTGATCAAACGGAATGGACTGGTATTATGCAACCTTCGCCTATGACATCTGCACATATGAATTCTCTACTAATGTTCCTGAAATTGAGATTGGTTTATGCTTAAACATTATACTTTCAAAATATATAGTACCTTATGTATTTGGTGAAAGTAAATAACTTTTTATATTTTCTTTTAGGTTCTTTTTATGGTGTTAGAAAGTGATTGTTTAGTTTGGATTCACTTTTAGGTTTTTTTTATGGTTTGTAAAGGTATTATTTTTTCCTTTTCGTGATCTTCTTATCCCTAGTTAATATGGAAGGCAATGGGGCAGTTCTTTAAGGAGTAACTTTGTGTTAGAAAAATGACACCCTTGCATTGTTACATATAACTCAGATTTTACATATAAATCCCAATAAGTTTCGGTTGGTATGTGGCTTATTGCAAGCTACAATCTTTTTTTTAGGTTTGAACTTTTGCTCCTCAAAATTGTAGAAAATATACCTACCCACTACATTGATTATTTTTTACATTATAGTAATGCTTTTGTAAATGAAATTGTTTCTGTAAACTATTTTGATATGCATATTCTTTTTTCGAATAGTTTTATATATTCATGTTTTTTCGATGGGTGTCTTTTAAGGGCTGAACATGTATACTTTTTTTCATCTATTAATGTTTTTTTAAGGTTTTGAGTTTACCATCCAGGACTTAATGAAAAAGAAAAGATAAGAAACAATATGTCTTACATACAGATATCATCTCATTTGAACTTTTATAAGTTATTTTTTCAAATAAATACTAACAATGGTTTTTAGATGATCTTTACTTGATTTATTTTCTAAAGATGATTAGGCCCATTGTTTTGTTAATAGGGGGTTTTGAAGTAACCCTTGGAAACAATTTATACTTTAAGACTTTGCAGCTAATAATGAATGTGATTGCAACTTCAGTTGGTTTGGATCTGATAGGCATAGCTAGCGTTGGTGGGGAATGATAGGAAGAAGAAATGTGGCCATGTACAAAGTCAAGGTAACATTTTATATATTTCAAGTAAATATGATTTTTTGTTACATCTGATGGAATAGAAACGAATAACATAAATTTGTAAATATGTTAAAACACCAATAAATAAAAGTAAGTTTCAATTGTTGCAATAGCACCGTACTTTCATTTGATTGATGTTTTATAGCATTCTACTTAAAAATACGGATTCTTTTTGAAGCAGTAAAATATTGGACTAAACAATAAAGAACGGTTTTAATGATCCAACCCCATGTTTATTGCTGGTGAAGTGAATTCCATGTAGTCGTTTCTGACATTCCCATATAAGTTATGATTTGGTTTTAATATGGTTTTTGGGAGCTGAATGCTTTGATGAACTTTTTTTTCAACTTTTTTAGGTAGTTGAAGTTGTAGTGGTTAATTGGATTTATGATAAACGGTGGAATTGATGAGGCTGGTAAGAAAAAAATGAAAGGGATTATGTTACAAAAAAAATTAAGTTTAATGTTATACTTTTATATTTAGCCATTATTAGAGAGCATCAAAGGTTATATGATATTATGTTTGGGATATATTCAATTACCTATCTCAATGAAAAATCGTGGTTTACCTTGTATGTAATTTGGGCATTTTGCTGTTTATTTGGAAGAGGTAGATATCAGTTACTATTCATTACCAATTGTCGATACGGATGAATTCATGCAATCAATCTGTAGAGTTGACCGGTGATAAAAAAAACAAAGAGGATTTGTTGACCATGGTGAAAGTTTAAAGAAAATGTTGAGAGGAAGTGAAGAAAATAAAAAACATGGGAAATAGATTAAGCTCTTAATTGGTTCAGTTGGGTCAAAGAGAAATTAGGCGTTTTTACGTAAAATCACTTTTTAAGTTCTTATCGAATCATTTGGATTTGGAAATGTCCATGTTATGCACCCCAATAACAACATGTGTTGCCTCTCTTTACTCTGCAACATATATTTATGTTATAAATTCCCAAATAACAATTATACCCTTATATGTACATTCTTTTGGCTTATAAATCTTTGACTTAATAAACATGAAATATGACTGATTGGATAAGCATAAACATAGGGCTTGGAGAAAAATTTGGAAGAGTAACAATTAAAGCAATGACATTTGGCATTTGGTAAGTCACCATAAATTAACATTTATATATACAAAAATAGCAACGTAGTTTTACACTTTTTTAGTTTTATGTATCAATTTTTTTTATTTTTTATTTTTATTTATATATTTTTTTTGTGTTTTGATTAGGTGCTCGGGATAAATGCCTGAGGCACAAAAAGAGATTGTGGAACAAAACATAACGAGTCTTTTACATCATATTGGGCATCTAGGAACACATATTCTTTCCAAAAACCTTCAATATTTACTTAAAAAAACATCCGACGACACCGTATGGGACTCCAAGGAAGAGAAAAATTAAAAACATTTTATAAAAGACCACAAACAATATTATACTTCCCAATATTTTCTTTTTACAAAGTTATAGTAAGATATAATGAAAGTAGGTTGTTATACTAAAGAAACAAAGGAAAGTGCATTGCTATCAGGTGGCAGTGGAATCATGTCGAATGAACTACATACGTTCATCAGAAAAGGAAGATCTACTGATGGTTGACTACTTTAATATCCGACAAACTACAAAATCTGATGAGTCTAATCTCAAGAGAAAAAGCTACATTTCATAGAATAATTGTCGTTTGTAGGTACTTTTTTTATTAATATTTTAGGTTTGTACATGTATAAATATAATGTAATGATCGATATGCAGAATACTTAGTACCAATGGGGAAAAGGAAGTGGGAATCCGTTTGAAGCATTTTAAAAACATATGAAAGGAAGGTAACATATAAGTGATTGGTGAAATGTTGAAAGGAAAGTGAGATCATACACTCGGAACATAGTTTTGTTTCTAAAGAAAACATTATACTATATCAATGCCTTCCAAATATAAGGAAAACGATTTTTGGTTGAGCAGTGGGAGTGACAATTTATGTAGATATAGTTAAAACACTATTGAGATAAATAGATGCTATATAAAAGATCCAGCCACAGATATGACAGATGGGTGATGCTTCAACCATCCCGGTTAATTTGCTTTAATGGTTAATATTAAACAAATAAAATGAATTATGTGTTCCAGATTACAAAAAAATACACAACATTAAAACAATCTTTCAAATTGCCATGCGGAGCATAGCTTCCCTCTGGTTAAGGTCTAAACTTCAACTACCATGTGATTTTCTATTTCGACCCTCTATTCCACACTTCTTACAAATAATTCCATTAATGTATGCATCAACCAAAATTAATCACATAAAAGCTATAGTGAGAAAATGGAATATACTCCACTGAAATATACAAAATTGAATTTGGTTGTCTGTAGGAACATGCTGATATGATTAGTAGAATCTCTTGAAGTCTGAACATCTTCGGTGACAATATCGGACACTCGGCGTTAAAATTTGTCACACCCCAAAACCGGAACGGCGGAAACGTTCGGGGGCGGAGGACGTCATGTACAATATCACAACAATTGCATCGTAGTAACCAAAGTAAACACAACCATTACATTGAAAATATATAAGGTATTTACATCTGTTCGATACATAGTTTGTATAACAACAAAAGTGTAATAAAAGTATGAAAGACGCGACTCTATACGCTCCGTCTTCTCAAAAGCTTGCGGGTGTACCTTTCTACTGGTTCCCTGAGAATGCAAGCGGTTTTGAAAGAGTATCAACATTTAAGCTGGTGAGTTCATAAGTATGTTTTTGTATTGAAAACCTGTCTGTGAATCTGTAAAATGTTTGCATGTTCTCAAGAAAACCCAATATTTTCTTTAGTAATGAAAAGTAGTCTTAAACCCTAAGACCATAATGTAGGTTTGTTATTGTATTCTGTAGTAGTATATGAAAATGTTAGTCTGTAAGCCTGGTTACCACCAATGTATTGTATACTGTATTCTGTATGAAAACCTTTGTATGAAAACCCTAGCTATCACCAGTAATGTATAATGTATTCTGTATGTAAGCCTTAGTATGAAAAACCCTGGCTGCCACCAGTATGTATAATAGTTTTATTACTTAAAATAAAACTATGTATTTGTATTCCCCGGAATCCTCCAGTTGTAGTGTATAATAGTTCTATTAATGAAAATAAAACTATTTGAAGAATTGAAATCCCGTAAACAAATGGTTAGTGTATACTGTTGTGAGTTTGGTATAACCATGCTTGATATGAGTGTTAGGTGCATTTCAAGCATTCATTTTGTAGTTTTAATCCATAAAAGTGCATTGCATTTAGGTTTAAACTCATGCATTTTGCATATTTTTCGGGTTTTTTCATGATGCAATTCCATTCACACACTTTTATGATATTTCAGGGACTTTTGAAGGTAGGATCTTAGTTGAGGTGATGAATAAAAAATGTGAACGAAGTTTCGGGACTATTGGAGCATCGAGGAGGAAGTTATGAAGAAATGAATATTTTGGCTTTACAGAGGTTTACACGGCCATGTAAATGAAAGCCTTGAGTTTACACGGGCCGTGTAAACGCATATTCAACAGCAGTGTACTTCGAAGGCCTGGCAGATTTGAGCATTTTACTTCTAGAGTTTACACGGTCGTGTAAATGGTCAGTGTTAGTTTACATGGGCCATGTAAACGTGTCGTCAGTTTTAAAACAGTTTCATCCTTTGTAAAAGAGAGACAGCCAGTTCCAGAGGAAGTTAAGTCGTATTTTGGGAGAAGATAAAGGATTTTGAGGAGATTTTGGAAGTTGATTAACATTTGGAAACACTTTAATTTGCATTTTGTAAGTCAAATTGAGGATACAAACTTGTTGAATTTGTAGTTTAATTTAGACATGTGTGGCTGATTTCTTTATCATTTCTGATTCTGAATTCTTAAGTATTTGTTGTTAGGTTGTAATTTACACTTGACTTATGTTTAACATCGAGTAATCTTTGATTTGATCTTAATTATGTGTTTGATTGGTTCTCTTTTTCACTTGATCAATGAATTAGGGTTCTTATCAATCTAGTTAATCAAATTATAAAATTCGTATATGTTTTATGATTTGATGTTAGTAACATGCACTTGATTGGTTGTATTCACTACTAGAAAAACAGCCTTTTACGACGCGCAATGCGTGTCGTAAAACGCTCAGACGACGCGCAAATGCGTGTCAAGGAAGGCCCTGTCATAACGAGAGACGACACGCTTTTGCACGTCGTCTATAGACGACACACATTTACGACGCGCATTTATGATACGCAATGCGTATCATTAAAGTCGCTGTCAAGAAAGGCCATGTCATAAATGAAGACGACACATATTTTTGCGTATCGTAATTTTTAAATTTTTTTTAAAAAAAAATTATTTATAGATTTACTGATTTTCAAATTAAATTTGCATTTCATGTCTCATAATAGAAAATAAAATACCATATACAAAAAATACAATACATTGCACAAAAGTTAATGTCATACAAATAATCATTCCAATAGTAGACAAATGTAATACATCAAATAATTATTCCAATAGTAGACAAATGTAACATTTCAACATTTTTTATATAATTAACTATATTATTAGCCAAATTTCCTAAAATACCAACATACTTTTCTATGAAGAGCATTAACACTATTATTTTCCATCAAAAACTTCAAACCTGCATAATTAAATTAATGTTTAATCAGCTACAGATCAATAATGTAGGTTTAAGCAAAAGAGTTTCATAATAGTAAGATTTTACTTACCGCTGTTGTTAATGACATTGAAAGAAGCAACCCAACAAACACCACCTTAGAAGGATTACTACCACATAACTGTTGATATTTGATACTTTATTACTAAATGAAACCAAAAACAAAGTTAAAAAGTCAACAAAATCAGAAGGTTTTAGTCAAACTTACAGAGGCTGTAATTCCAAATATTACTAAATGACATTGATTGAACCACCTGCAGATTTACCATTTTGTCCCTATGAGATTCACTACTGAACACATTCTACAGTTTGTAAACTATAATATATATATATATATATATATATATATATATATATATATATATATATATATATACCTGAGCGATTTTTTCGGTGCTTGGCCAAACGTCTCTAAAGTAGGCATTCTTTCCGTCCTTTGTGGTCCCGATTGGTTCGTTTTTGAAGTCGATGTCGACCTAAAACACACAACATGCAAAACATGATATGAATTTGTGTTGTGTGTTTCTTTGAGGGTAGAAGAGTAATTTTACACATATCGTGCCGGCAAGTGCGTAAGCTACAACCAAGGGAGGTGAAGCCAGGTAGTTGGCTCTTGTTAGTGGGTGAACACGCCCTTCAAAGTTTCTGTTTCCAGAAAGCACAGCTGCAGCAACAATATTTGCAACAAATATGTTCTCAAGAGTTAAATAAATTACTTTATTACAAAATGATCCCTATGATTTCTGATTTTTACTTTGTTTCACTCCAAAATTGGAACTTGGAACATTTTTTTTTTCAATTTTGGTCCCTGGAACGTTGAAATAAGGACTAAAGCTGAAAAAAAGGTTTCATGTTTGGACTAAACAAGGAAAAAGCAGAAAGTACAGGGACCATTTTTGTAATTTACTACATATAGTGCAGCCATAGCCCACTATGCTGAATCCTTGCTGGTCCAAGTACTTTTGCAGACCACTGTATACATGAGGAAAGTTATAAAAATGGAAGGCAAAGAGATTAAAAGATAATCAAGGACAAAATCGTAATTTTACCTCTGGAGCAAGTATTTTGTGACAACCCCAGAACCAGGGGCAAGACTGTTTTTACCCAGTATCAAGAATTGATGAAAGGGGGTACTCCACACTGTATTGCCAACAAGCTTGACACCAACACCTGAAAGCTGGAAAAAATAATAACACAAATAAAAATAAATGTAAGATTTGAGATAACAGATGCATGTGTATGAAAGAACCAATAGATGATAGAATTAGTGAAAAGGAATCATGGAAACAAGGAGTTAAAGGGTCTTAAAGCATATCATTTGCAAAAATTGGTCGATGTTGATCTTTAACATTCCCTAAAATGGGAAGAACGTGGGAAAGCACACCTTTAAGTCTTGGGGTAAACTGTAGAGCTTCAAATAAATGATCATAGCACCAAAAGATATTCAGTTTCAGGACTCAGTTTTGAACACATGAAAGAAGACTCATAAGGATGCCAAAGATTTGGATAGAGGACTAACCATCAGAAGTAGCAAAGCCTGCAAGTATTTGAACCATAGCTGGAAGAGCTGAGTTTTGTGCATACAAGTGAAGAAATAGTTCTTCCATCATCTATGGAAGTAAATCAGAAAGCTTGAACAATGCATGAATTACACACCAAAAGGGTATTTTGGTCTTTTCAATACAACAAATAGGCAGAATTGTTGAATTCCAACTTATAAGACAATGCATGAATTAATGCCTTCTCCTGGAAAGCAGCAAGTTTGTGGAGCCGGCCCGCATCACCACCATCACCATCACCTTCCCCAACATAAAAATATCAAAAAACATAAAAGTTTAATCAAAACAAAAAATAAAATAAATTTAGGCCTAAGATTGTATGTTTAATGGATTTATTTTTAGCAATGTACCTGAGGTATGTGATGGAAGCAGATAATTTAATCTATCAGCAACTGTCCCAGATCCAGAAGATGAAGGCGCTTATCAATATAACCAAAGATTAACGAACCTCCCACCCTGGATTAGGCCCAAGGGCAACTGCCACCATGGAGCTTGCTTTACCCTAAATAAAAACAAGAAATTATATTTAATGTAATTATGTATCAAAAAAGATAATGAAATAAAATAAACCACAATGAAAAAAATTACAAAATCTTACTTGCATAAATACACTCAAAACAAGCTTACACAGATAAACAACTAAAACTAACTTCAAATCTTTTGGTAAAACTATAGATATAAACAAAGCATATATATTTCAATTCAACTTCTCTATTTTAGCCATACCTGGTCAACCAAGCTTACACACCATTTGGGTTTCCTTTAGTTGTGTCCAAAGATAAAGCAGGTTCCTCTTTAGTTGTTGTGATCTCACCCTTTGGACCAGACCATTCCCACGTCCACAGAAGGTTGCAAAGATAATCATAAACCAAAAAACACATAACTAAGCTTTTGAAATCTAGATTAATGTAAACAAAAGAGTTATACCAAGAAATCTTCAGATATTACCATATGACAAAAATATCTCACATTCTTAGTGGGCTCAGGAATTTCCGTAGTCTTAGCTTGCGAATCAAGTGATAGATTCTTCAGCAAATCACTTTATATGTGTGTAAAATTGCAAACTAAAAAAACAAGGGGAAAACCAAACAAGATACCATCTATGTACATCTATTATGTGTGTACATGTATTATCTGGCACTAACCATGGAAGTCCGGTCAAAGGAGGGTCAACAGAAACAGGATACCATCTGATGGCTTTTAGTTCAGACCAAAACTCGTCTCCTGGCATTTCATCGAACAGCTTGCCTACATAATCTTCATGAAATGCATCAGAGAATTTGTTAGAAGGGAAGAACAAATCCTTGTGCAGAAATGTATTTAGAATCAAACACTAAACTGTATTTTATAATATATATATTATATATAATATATATCTATATATATAATATATATATCTATATATATATATATATATATATATAATGGAAATGTATTTAGAATACGACACCGGAGTGTGATTGTTGTTAGAGTTCTTATGCAAGCTACACCTAAACGAACCTGGATGCGAAGTAGGCGAACACATACACATCCTCCTCGGTTTATCCAACTGCTTTTTCGACGCTTGATTACTATTATTACTCCTCGGAATTACAGAGATCGAACGACTCGGAGAAATTTGAAGATTGTCGAGAGAAAATCATATATTCGACGCGATGGAGATGATCCGTATACGTTGACACGTTTAGGTGACGCAGATCGGTTCTGAAAGAATGACGACGGGCTCGACGAGAAGGCGGAGGTGGAGGAAGCAAAAGAGTTTGACGACGGTGAGGTGTAGAATCTTCCGGAAGGAGAGTGAGCTCGGAGTACGGGTCTTCGGGTCAGATTCGCAATTGATTTACAGTTAAAGAAATTTGGGGTTTTTGAGAAGATAAGGAAGGGAGAAGTAGCCATGGTTATCTGATTGAGGGTTTTTGCGTTTTTAATTGAGAGAAGTAGTGTGAGGGCAGAGAGTAGGTGGAGACATCGGTAGGAGACATTTTGCTGGTGGGAGATCGGAGATTTGGTGATGACTATATTAAGTTTTTTTGGGGTATTTGAGTAAGAGAGAGAAGAACGGTGGAAAGAAGGTAATAACACGGCGGGCCTTTCAAACTTTTCAGAATTTCATTTTCCCCCAGAGAAAAGACCCCGCGTTTCATTAAGAAAATATAAAGCGACATGGTTACACGACGCCCATTTTATGTTATGTGCCCTCCGTGTTTTTTTTTCAATGTGACACTTATTTTAGGGCGCGCAAAAATGCGTGCCCTAAATCCTTCTAATTTTTTGAGAGATGACATTATTTTTAGGGCACACACTTTTGCGTATCATAAAATAGCGCGTGTCATGGTTCGCGCGTCATTAAAGGGTATTTTTCTAGTAGTGATTTAGATCAAAATAAGTGTAATCAAAGATTAAATGTTCATAATCCCAAGCTTAAGAGGAATGTTGAACATTGTTGGTAATTGTTGCAAGAACTCAATGTCATTTAATGATTTGATGCAAGAACTTATTTGAATTGAATCAATTAAATGAAGTTTTATTTGAAGAACATGTTTTGAATAAAACACTTTTGTCAACTTAGATATTAGAGTTTATTAATATCTAAATTACCAACCTAGATTAAACATGAGTCATAACTATATTACATCTTTCAACATAATACATATATAGGAATCAGAATCAGAAATGTATTTCTTTTACTGAATTTTGTTTTCAATCTTATTTCTTTATGAATTTCAATTTTAGTTTAAACATAATCCCCCATTTTAATATTGTTTGTATAATGTGTGAGAATATGGCTAAATAAGGAGTCTCGTATTCCTGTGGACCGACCCTGCTTACTCTATACTATCTTTAGTGTATGAAGTAGCAGTGATTTGAGTTTTATTGTTATTATTTTATCCCATTATTTGTTGGCTTGACAGCCAAACAAATTGGCGCCGTTGCCGGGGATACGGTAGTACTAATTGTTTATGCCAAGATCTTTTCGCACAGGTACACCTTTACCAGTTGATTTGGAGATAGAGAAATCTGCAAAACAAAGAAGGAAGCAAGCCAAACTTTTAAATAAACAACAATCCAGAGCTTCTTCATCAAATCCATCAACCACATCTTCACCAACATCCAAAAATACCACCCCACCATCTTCACATTTACCCGAATCTGAAACCTTTATCCTTACTCCTAGCATGGGAGACAACCATGGCTCAAATCCTCCAAATCCACCACCTGAACAAACCTTTAGAAAGTGGGCCACTCAAGATGTCACCCAACAACCTTTGTGCATTAATTACCCTGCAACAATAAACTTTGAACTCAAGTCTGGACTCATCCATTTGTTACCTTCATTTCATGGTCTTGAAAATGAAGATCCACACAAATGCCTTAAGGAATTTCATGTTGTTTGTGTGGGTATGAAGCCACATGAAGTTACAGAAGATCAAATCAAGTTAAGGGCATTCCTCTTTGCTTTACAAGATTCAGCTAAGAAATGGTTATATGACTTACCACCGGGGTCAGTCACAACATGGAATGAACTTGCAAGGATGTTTTTTGGATAAATATTTTCCAGAAATGAGAGCTTTAGCTTTACGCAGAGAAATAATTGGTATCAAGCAACAAAAGAGAGAAGCCTTGCATACTTACTGGGAACGGTTCAAGAAATTGTGTTCAAGATGTCCAAAACATGGGATTTCAGAGTATCAGTTGTTGCAATATTTTTGTGAAGGAATGTCATCTTGGGATAGGAGATTACTCAATGCATCAAGTGGTGGATCAATAGCTGATAAGACTCCAACAAAAATCATAGCTCTTATAAAAAACATGGCAGAAGAGTCCAAGCATACAACTCAAGAAGAAGAATGGTATAGTGATGCACCAAGAGGAGCGAAAGAAATTTCTACCCCAAAAATTGAGAGTCAACTTTCTGAGTTGACTAAAGTAGTGATGATGCTTGCTAATGACAAGGGTGTACAACCACCAGCTGTTAGACCTTGTGGTATTTGTACACAAGTTGGACACCCCACCGATATGTGCCCAATGTTACAAGAAGATGTAGAGCCAGTTCAAACTATGGGATTTTCTAGTCAACAGCCAGGAAACTTTCAGCCAAGAAGCAATCCAAATTGGCATCAACCCAATGCCAATTTTCAGCCAAGGCCACCATCTTTTCAAGCAAGACCTCCATTTCAAAATCAAATGCATCATCAACAAAATTATCAACCACATTTCCAACCAAATCAACCTCCTCATCAATCTCAATTCCAACCTCAAAACATGCAACAAGGAAGCAGTTCAAGCGGATCGGGAATGTGTTTGGAAGACATTGTCAAGAGTTTAGCCACAAGTACTCAAACGTTTCAAAATGAGACCAAGGCGAGTATCAAGACTTTGGAGCAACAAATGACTCAACTCACCACTTCTGTGAGTAAATTGGAGTCACAAGGCAAACTACCGGCACAAACCGAAAAGAATCCAAAGCATAGTGCATGTGCCATCACTTTGAGAAATGGCAAAGAATATGAAGGTCCATAGATGATTGAAGAAGAAGAAGAGATGGAGTTAGAAAAACAAGAAGAGAAGTCAAAAGCACCTTCAAAACAAGTTCCCATTAAAGCAAAAGTCACTCCTCCTCCATTTCCCACAAGGTTAAGCAAGTCAAAGCGTGAAAGAGAGGACAATGAAATCATGGAGATGTTTTAGAAAGGTTGAGGTAAATATTCCTCTTATTGGTGCCATCAAACAAGTACCTAGGTATGCTAAATTCCTTAAGGAATTATGCACATCTAAGAAAAGATTGAAAGGGAATGAAACTGTCAAAGTGGGTGAAAATGTATCCGCAGTGTTACAGAAAAGATTACCTCAAAAATGTAAGGATCCGGGTGTTTTCACGGTTCCTTGCAAGTTAGGTAATCTTCATGTTCCACAAGCTATGCTAGACCTTGGAGCTTCTATCAATGTTTTGCCATATTCTATTTTCAAAACCTTAAATATTGGCACATTGAAGAAGACCGGGGTAATCATTCAATTGGCTGATAGATCTTTAGTACATCCAAAAGGTGTGCTAGAAGATGTGTTAGTCCAAGTGAATGAGTTAGTATTTCCAGCAGATTTTTATGTCCTTGACATGGATGATGATGACTCACCAAATTTGAGCTCAATTCTTCTAGGAAGACCCTTTTTGAAAACAGCCAGGACAAAAATTGATGTTTATGATGGTACATTATCCATGGAATTTGATGGAGAGGTGATAAATTTCAACATCTATGATGCTATGAGATATCCAAGTGATGTTTCATCTTTGAATTTTGTGGATGTCATTGAACCATTAACCGAAGAGTGTTTTGATTTGTCTAATCTTGATGTGCAGCTCTCATTTTAGACAGGAATCTTCAAAAGGAAAGAGTGGAAAAACTTGCCAAGCAATTTAAAATTGATGAAGAGATTTTGGAAGTTGTATCTTGCATGGATGAAAAGAAGAAAATGAGGTTTGATGTTCCAAAGCTGAAATTACCTATGTCTAATGAGAAACTTGTTCCTTCTATTGTGCAGGCACCAGAATTGGAACTCAAAACTTTACCCGAGCATCTCAAGTACGCGTATCTTGGAGAGAAAGAGACTTTACCAACGATCATCTCCACAAAGTTATCAACAAAAGAAGAAGAAGAGCTTGTCACCACCTTGAAGGAGTATAAGGAAGCTATTGGGTGGACTATAGCCGACATCAAAGGGCTAAGTCCTTCACTTTGCATGCACAAGATCCTTATGGAAGAAGATTACAAGCCCTCTCGAGAAGCTTAAAGGCGTTTGAACCCTCCAATGATGGAGGTTGTGAAAAAAAGAGATTTTAAAATTGTTGAATGCGGGGATGATCTATCCTATATCAGATAACAAGTGGGTAAGTCCAGCCCAAGTTGTACCCAAGAAGACAGGTATTACCGTTACAAAGAATGACCAAGGTGAGTTAGTCCCCACCCGTGTGCAAAACGGGTGGAGAGTTTGTATTGATTATAGAAGACTCAATTCCTCAACCCGGAAAGACCATTTCCCACTTCCCTTCATTGATCAAATGTTGGAAAGATTAGTGGGAAAAACACACTATTGTTGCTTGGATGGGTATTCCGGTTTTCATCAAATACCCGTTGCACCCGAGGATCAAGAAAAAACCACTTTCACATGTCCCTTCGGAACATTTGCATATAGGCGGATGCCTTTTGGACTTTGCAATGCTCCCGCCACTTTTCAAAGGTGCATGGTAAGTATTTTTTCGGAGTACGTTGAGGAGATCATTGAAGTTTTTATGGACGATTTCACAGTTTATGGTAATTCTTTTCATGAATGATTGGCCAATTTGAATTTTTTTTGCAAAGATGTATTGAGACCAACCTTGTTTTGAATTATGAAAAGTGTCATTTTATGGTTGATAAAGGTATCATACTTGGTCATGTTGTGTCTCCTAAGGGGTTATAGGTAGACAAAGCAAAAATAGAAGTCATTAAATCTTTACCTTATCCCACTTGTGTTCGTGAGGTACGCTCATTTCTTGGTCATGCAGGATTTTATAGAAGATTCATCAAAGATTTTTCCAAGATATCTCGTCCCATGTGTGAGCCCCTACAAAAAGATGCAGAATTCGAATTTTCCAAGGAGTGCAAGCAAGCTTTTGATTAGTTGAAGAAGTTGTTAATATCAACACCAATACTTCAATCACCGGATTGGAGTTTACCTTTTGAAATCATGTGTGATGCTAGAAATCATGCAGTTGGTGTAGTGTTGGGGCAAAGAAAAGACCGAGTTCCTCATGTCATTTATTATGCTTCAAAAACACTTGATAGCGTACAAGCTAATTACTCAACAAATGAGAAAGAATTGCTATCTATTGTCTTTGCTTTAGAGAAATTTCGTCAATA